TGACTTGCATTTTTAGGATGATCATCACACAAAAGATCAGGAATATCCATCACAGTAGCTCTAAGAGGCTCCCGACCCCTGGGCCTAGGGATCCCTCCAGTGAACTGGGAGCTTCCCACAGGACTGGTCCCAGGAGGTACTGTAGGCATGGCCTGCCCAGCCCACTGGAGTCCCACCCAGTCAGCACAGGATAGGACAGGACACAAAGCAAGTCCTTTTAGAAACTTCAGGTCCTCGTCCTGTGGAGAGCAACCTGTCACCAAAGGCCGGAGGACGTGAGACCACTGTCCTGCCTGTGGTGTCTGTCCCTGGGGGCCACAGGGGCCCTGCAGCACAGGTGGGGGGCGGCAGCCATCAGGGCTGGAGCTCAGCATTTGGTCACCCTTGGCAACAACAACAAGGTGAGTCGCTGCAGGTCAGTCTGGCTTCTGATCTGGACCCCCTGTGGTACCTTGATAGGTGGGTGAGTAGCATGCTGCCCCTGAACTAGCTGGGATGCTCAGAACCCAGAAACCACAGGCATCATGTGGACTTGAGCTACAGAGACAGACCAAAGCCAATGTGTTGGCACTGGGAGGAGCCCCAGATGAGGGAAGAATGTACCCAGGGGATCAGAGGGTGGCAGATCCCTGGGGGAGGAGCAGACTGGGCTGAAGCAGGGTGGATGGAAAGCAGGCAACAAGACAGATCACTGCCCTGAGGGGAACAAACCCAAGTGGGCCCCAGGTAAGTTCCTCAGACCTGGCCTGTGGGGTGGGGTCCAGCAGATCTGGTCTAGGAGGTTGGCATGAGTTCCTGGTTGGCATGCAGAGCATTGGGCTGTTCTCACCTGGCTGTCACCCTTCCTTGAGTCCAGATATATATGGCTGCTCATGAGGGGAGGCCCTGCCTGGGGAGGTACAGCTACCTGAAAGGGGGATGCCAGAGCAGAGGGCCTGACCGCTTCTTAAAGTAGTCTGTCCATCCTTGGAGAAAAGTGGTGTAAACAATTTTATACCTCACAAATAAGTTCCAATCAGTTGACTTGAAAGATAACAAAATGGAGCTTTTCTCCATTTTAAAACTACAGGGAAAGTACACCAACACTGTCATGGCTTTGCATGGGAGGTTAGACGGAACCAGTGACCACGCTTAGCTGCTCCCAGCCTTGGCCCCTGCATGGCAGGCATCACCAGATGCTGTGCACACACAGGGTTCATGGTCACAGGGCCCATATCCTGACTGCTTGCCCAGTCGGGCCTGCCAGGAGGCAGTCACCATGCGAGAGGCCCCAGGGAGGAGCACAGGCTGCCCCAGGCTAAGTGAAACTAGGAAGCCTTTCTGTTTTTGTTTGTATGAACATGTATTATCATCAGAAAAAATGTATAAGCCATTTCCGAGGAAATGTAGGAGGTGTCCTCCAGACTAGCTCCGGCCTGGGAGGATTCACTGTGCTGTGTGCAAGTCTTAGTGGCTGTGTCAGACTCCCCCTGGCTCCCATCACTAACCAGGGCCCCAGTGACATACAGCACACCCTGAAGCCTCAGTTTCCCCTTCTGATACACGGAGAAAGCCTTGTTTCCGTGTGTTGAGGTTGTAGTATCCACTCGTTAGACACAAGTCCTCGTGCCTTCTGGCTAACCCCAGTTACCTTACTCAGCTGCACAAGCCTGTCCTTTCTGAGCACTTCTAAATGTGGAGAGGCACTCTGTGTGGTGCGTACAGCATCCAGGCCCAGAGCCCCTCTGGGCAGATAGAAGCACCCGTGCAGCTCAGTAACAAGGAGCTCCAGCAGGTGGACAAGGAGGGCCTCCATGGCCTTGTCGGCCCATGACCAGTGAGGCCCAGGCACTCTGCTCACCACCAGCCTTGAGACCTGCAGTAGACCATCCTGGAGGTTGCAGGTGATGCAGGAGGCAGCCTCTCTCTGACCAGCCCCTAAGGCCCCATCCTCACCACTGACCATCCAGGGGCTGTGGGCCAAGCCTAGTCAGTTCCCTAAGGCTCAGTTGAGCTCCTGGCCCTTGGAAAATTCACTGGGGAGGGGATGTGCTCAGTTATTTCTGACACTTGGAGTGACACCAACCCCAGGCAGCTTAGCAGGAAATGCAGAGATGAGTGAAGAGCAAAAGGCATCGGCTGGCGTGTGCTTTGTCCCAGGAGCAACCTGGGCGCCTGTGCTGGAGACTGGGCACCAAGCATGGGACTGCCGCTTTCAGTGCTGGGGTGACATGGAGTCCCACGGTGCTCCCCTGGAGTTGTTGCCGAGGCTAGATAAACGAGGCGTCTGCCCAGGGTGCGGAGCCCTCTGACCTGCGTCCTCATTCATCACAATAGCTCAGGGCCGGCCGGCAGAGCTCGGCTCACACCAGTCAGCGCCCTGGCGACTCACCAGGCCTGGGGGGTGGGGGGCTTCCACGGCGACGTTGACAAAGCACAGAAAGTTCATTTTTCATTGAGATGGAGCTCACGATTTCCTTTGGCTGGCAGTTCTAGACAGGTGACCGCCTCACGAAGGGGTGGCCACAAGTCTCAGCCTGCAGAAAGGAGACACGAAGAAGCGGCAGCACCCGGGCTGGCGAGCAGTAGCATGGCAGTGTGAGGCGGGGGCCGTGCTGGGCTATCCCAGGCTCTGTCCCCCCCCCTCCCCCAGGGTGAGTCCTCGGGGTGCCCCAGCACCGGCCCGTGCCAGCTTTGTGCCGATGGTGCCGGCCATCAGGGTGGCATGCAGAACCTCCGAACTGTTACTGCCGGTGTGGGGAACACGGGAAACAGCTCCCCGGCTGGGCCACCCCCAAGGCCCAGTGGGGGAGCTCACCCATCTCTGGAGCCCCTTCTCCCCCAAAACATACCAGGACCTTTTGGGAGCTGACTGCTGTGCTGTCCCCGCAGGCCGAGTCCAGTCCCCGCCCACTCCTCCTGGCCGGCTATGAGGACGGATCAGTGGCACTGTGGGACGTCTCTGAGCGGAAGGTGTGCAGCCGTGTCGCCTGCCACACAGAGCCCGTCATGGGCTTTGACTTTGACTCCCAAAAGGCCAGGGGCGTCTCGGGCTCTGCGGAGAAGGCGCTGGCTGTCTGGAGCCTGGATGAGCAGCAGGCCCTGCAGGTCAGTGCGCCAGACCCGAAGTGTCATTTATCCTGCTTTGCACTAACAGTCTGATAGGCTGAAACAATATTTAGGCATGAAGAGGAGTTGTTGCAGATCCCTGGCTAATTAATCACTGCGAGGCGGGGTGCAGGCCAGCCTGTCCGCGGGGCCGGCGCAGGAAGAAGGGGGCGTGGGCGTTTGTGAACCGTTCACATGGTTTGGGTTTCTCTCAGACCTTGGGTTAACAGCAGTCACGTCTTGTCCATCTAGAGAAAAGGCATGTAGAGTCCAGGAGTAGGCAAGCCCATTTGCAAAAACTCAGAGGAATTCGGTCAGTAAGGAACTGATTAATCAACAAAAACCGACCCAGTGTGGAGAAATCCACGGAGTCACGCCCCCGGGGCAGTCTGTAAGCCAACCCCAGGGAAGCCATTCCTCACGGCCAGAGGCCACAGCCAGGAAGGGGTGTGAGGCCTCAAGGCGGAGCGGGGCGGTGCTGAAAACCTTCCCATAATGTCTCACTGGACTTTCCCTTCCCACATGACTCGTGGAGCACCGGGAGACCAGGTCTGGGCCTGTGGCTGGTGCTCAGCATGTGGTGGCCCAGCCTGCACGCTCAGCCCTGTTTGGAACCTGGGGGGTAGAATGTGGGGGAGGGCGGGCGGGAAGCCTCACACTAGGGCAGGTCCCGGGGGGCTGCGAGTGGAAGCTGCATGGAAGGGCAGTGACGTAAACCCAGGTCTGGTGGGGGAACAGAGCCCTGCATGGGAGATGTGTGGCGCTCAGGGAGACTGCCAGCAGAAGCAGCAGCAGGCTTGGCTCCTGGCCTCACCTGGGTGCTATCACTAGAGTACTAGAGATCATGTTTGCCCTCTTCTGCAGTAGCTTGGTGGAGACAGGAGGCCGAGGATGAAGGCATTCCTTAAGGCCCCTCTCCAGATGGGAGAGCCTTGTCCACAGCCTGGCAAGCCTGCCTCACCTCACACTTGCCCAGCCCAGGCCCCCACAGCCAGAGGAAGAGGCCCTGGGCAGTGGCCAACGAGCCCCTGAGGCACATGAGTTGGGGCAGAGGGGTGGGCCCCTGAGGAAAATCAGGGCACAACACTGCAGTGCCTAGCAGGTATCATGGGTCCTGGGTGCAACCCAGGGGTGGGACATGGCCATCAGATCATCCCAAAGGCAGGACAGAGTGAGGACAGCAGGGGCAGGGGTTTCACATGGTGGGTGAGAAGTCCTGAGGGAAAGGGAAACTGAGAACGAGTGAGGTGAGAGGGTGCTAGAGAGAATGGTAATGGCCATTCTCCATAATAGAGAGACCCGAGGATGGAACACTGAAGTCAAGCAGAGTGGGACCTGGGAGGGGCCTTTCATGTCCAAGCTGGAGTTGGAACTGGCATCCTAAAAAGAGTGGTCCCATCAGAGAACAGAGGTGAAAATCAGAGCTAGGAGCAGCAGGGCTGGAATCTGTACATGCTGTCCTGGTATCTCTCCAGGTGGGACCTGAGCAGGGACCCGAGGATGGGGAACAGCCAGCCAGAGCCCAGAGAGAGGGGAAAGGGGGGGGGTCACATGTCACATTTGGGGACAGGGCACACATTCATGCTTCCTTGGCATTACTCCTCTCCAGCAGACCGGCTTGTGTCAGCACACCGGCTTGTGTCAGCACATGGCTGACTTGTTGTAAAGCCAGCTACCCATCTGTCCTCTGTCCTTATGTTGTCTCAGAGAGTCCATGGAGGCCCTGCAGGAAGCAGGGTTAGACAAGCCTCCAAATGGGGCCCGAGCTGGCTGTCAAGGACCAAGTTTCTCATGCCTCCATCCTGGTAGGAGGGTCCCAAGGCATTGAAATTGTGGACTTGGGTGGGGATGGGAATGAATGTCTTCATGATGGCTTCATGATGACTGTCATCTTTTTTTTTTTTAAAGTTTGAGAGCGAGAGGAGCGTGTGAGTGCACGGAGGGCAGAGAGAGATAGAGAGAGAGAGAGAATCCCAAGTAGGCTCCACACTGTCAACACAGAGTCCAACTCAGGGCTCAAATTCATGAACCGTGAGATTACCACCTGAGCCAAAATCCAGAGTTAGTTAACCGACTGAGACACTCAGGCACCCCGGCTGTCATCTTTAAGAATGGGGCAGAGCCACTCTGGTGCTGGGTCTTCATGTCCTCAGCAGTGGAGGTCACCTTGCTGGGTGTCAAGCCCAGCCAGGTGGGCAGTGGAGTTCTCCCTCATACCCTTCTCTCTGCCTCTCGAGCCTGGTGGGGACCAGGCAGTGCCCCCACCTTCCCACTGTGGGGTCCAGTGCTCCATCCTGTTGTGGCTTGAACTTCATGAGCCTTGACCTTGCAAAGAGCTGAAGACTCAAGTGGCTTCCCTGAGAACCCCGCCCCAAGCCCCTGGACCTCTGGAAGGGTCCCCTTCTGCTGACCTGGCCCAGATCTGCCTGGTTTCTGCTGGCTTTTTCGGGAAACAGCTGCTGGAACTTAAGACTTAAATTTATGGTGCATGTTCCAGTCCAGAGATGAACTTTTATTATACTGATGAATTGAAAAGTTGAAGCACAGGGGATTATTAATGAATTTGAAAGTTAAAGCAGAAGGGGAGCCATGCATTGTGGAATGGACGTGGTGGTTACATGATGGTGTTACGCCAGGCTAGGGGGGCTCACTCAGTAGTACACATCAAAGGAGGAGGACAGTGCTTCTCCTGCTGAGCACAGTCACTAAAAACGGCTGCCTCACCCAGAAACAACTGCACATCAGTTTCAGAGTTGGCCCCAGAGGCCCTGGAAATTTTCAGGTTGTGACGCACAGGCCTCTGAGGAAGAAGTATCAGGGGCCAGCACCCATGGGCATCCACAGGCATCCTCGCCCCAGGGCCCTCGGCACACCGTGCTGGCCCTGCGATGTGGCCGCCCGCCCTAGTCCTTGAGCCACGTGGGCACAGATGTGCCTCACCTCACAGCCTGCTGTTGGACTCTCTAATGAGCCCAAATCAATCTCTCCGGGCGGGCGCTGGGAGCAAAGACGCAGATGAGGTTTCCCGCAGCAGAGCGTGGGTAATGGGAACCAGATGGCGGCTTTGCTGCGTGCACATTCCTGGCACCTGAGGTCATGTGCTATGAGAGCCACTAGTGGCCACGGATCCTTCCCAAAGGGTCCTCATCCAGGATGGGTGCGGCCAGGGGCCACAGCAGTGACCAAGGGCCTTCAGCCACTCTCATCCAGACACTATGGCCTCAGGAGCACGTGGTGACACTGGGCCACTCGCCTGCCTTCCAGAGGTGGCTTTCCCTCCAGCCTCCAGGGGATTGGGCCTTGGCTGTCGTCAGACACAGGTGGTGTGCAGACCTGCTCCTTCCTCCCACACTTGGGCAGGGCCCATGGCCTTGAAGCAGGGACTGATTTACAGCCAGCAGTATTTTTAGGCCTTTAAGTAATATTAAGCACCCCCCCCCCCACCAACCCCAGGCAGCCTGGGCCAGGAATCAGACCAACCACACTTTCCCCGCATTGCACCGGCAGCTGGTTGGCCAGGCATCCTCCCGTCCTGCTGTGTGGCCATTGCCCTCTTTCTCCCTGACCTTCTTCTCCTCAAAAGTATCAATAGCAGGTCATGTGGGACAGGTAGGAAGGAGACTGGAGGGCCCCGAGACCAAGAAAATTGTGGACACAACCCAACCCACCATATGCATCTCAGGAACATAGCAGAACCAACAAAGCTCTGGCCACCATCACCACAAACAGTCCCTGTTGGGCCGCCCTCCTCCTCTTCCTCCTCCTCCTCTGGAATACAAGCCTGGGACAGGGACTGGCCTCATTTGGTTTAGGTCCCCATCAAAGCTTTTGCAGTTGCTTCTCTTCATTCCTGCCAGGGGAGCCTGCCTTGTGCTTCTGCCTCAGGGCCAGAGTCACTCCTGCCCCCGTGGGCAGCACTGGGTGTCTTAGCCCCTTCTAGGTGGCGACACTGGCATGGAAGGTGTTCTCTGCCCTGCACCCAGCTTCCAATGTGTAAGAACCCCAGTTCAGGAGCCTCTCTGGAAACTCACATTCCTCTTCCATTTGTCCTGGACTCTCGGTGTTCATCAGCAGAGAGCAAACTTGAAAGCATCCCTTATCTCTCTGTGAAATACTCCCCCTGTTAACAAATTCACATGAAGATGGACTATGAAGGAGGAAATCTGGAAGCAGGGCCCCAGGTAGGTTCCAGGGAGTCCATGGCTCTGAGCCCAGGAATCCCCTGGCTAACCACTGGCTTAAGGCAAAGTCCACAGAAGAGCAAAGTATGAGGGACAGTGATGGTCATCAGTCCTCATTCCCAGCCACCCTGTCTGGTCCGTGAGAATGGAGAGAGGTTCAGGCAGATGCACACCCTCACATGCGGGCACACATAGCATTTGCCTTCTCACACCTGCACAGAGGCTTTGGCTCCCACAGTCCTCCAGTGCAGGCCAGGCTTGGCAATTGTGGTCCGTGAACTGTAGAACCAGGCACTGGACAGAGCCCTGGAAGAGCAGGAGGGGGCCCTTGACCAGGAGATGCGGGGTGGGCATGGAGGTCCCTGGACAGGTCACTGCAGAGCTGCCCATGTGCTGATGGCACTGGCTAGGAACCCAGGACATCCCAAGTAGAGGCTGGGACTGCGGCAAGGATCCTGGCCATGCCATGGGTTGGATGGCACACCCCATGTGCTGTGGGATTTTAGCAGGTTCCCGTCACATCAGATCCCCATTCTACTCCTAGCGGGGAAAGAATCTGGATTGTGAATGGATGTTGAGCTGTCAGACTCAAGGCTTTTCTTCTCAAGTCAGTTAATTTAATATATTGCATGTTTTTGGTTTTTATAATATTAAAACAACTATATAGTGCTAAAATAACCCACTACATAGCATGACCATTTCCGCACTGTGGTGCTGGGCCGGAGTTGTTCAGGACCATCCGTCTGTCTCTCAGTAGACTAAGTTTCACCCCCTCTCTTGTTACCCCACTCTGCTTATGGTGTCGGGGTATCAGGAGCC